CTCCAATCTGCTAGGCAAATGCTCTGTCATGGAACTACATCCCCAGCCCTCAAACAAAATGAAAATAATGTCTTCCTTGCTGCTTTGTGCGGTGGGAGCTCCTTGCCCCGTTTCCATGTGCTCTGACGGAGGAAACCTTCAGATACACACACTCCTTCGAGAGCTTAGGGCTGGTGAACTACCTACCCATGAGCTTTGCGATGCCACAATTCTTGAATCTTTTAGGTTTGTCTTCTAATGCCATTTAATTCTTTTCCTTTTTGTTGTTGTTTCATTTCTGTTTTTTTTTTTCGAGACAGGGTTTCTCTGTGTAGCCTTGGCTGTCCTGGAACTCACACTGTAGAACTCAGATCCAACTGTCTCTGTCTCCCGAGTGCTGGGATTAGAGGTGTGAGCCACCTTTGCCTGACTGGTCATTTAATTATCTTATACTGCTGTATAATGTCACATCCAGTTTCAAAGCCTCTAATATCACTGTCTACTGCCTGGAGAGCACAGTGTACATCCTCAACGACACCCATGGATGTATCAGCATGGGTTTGTCCTTTGACCTTATCAAAGGAGATCTTGGGTTAGGGGTACAACTCGCTGGTAGAACACTTTTCTGATATGCACAAAGGCCTGAAGTTTGATTTCTCAGCACTGTAAAAATTTAAATTTTAATAATAATAATAATAGCCTGCTGTTTCTGACATGATGATTTGAAGGAACTAATAAAGATACGGGGGTGAGGAACTCTGCATAACTTCACTTCTATACAGAATCTTAAAAGTCATCATAGAGAAGCAAACAGTAGAAGTGTCTACTAATGGGGGGAGATGGATGCTGGGTAAAACTTACACCGTTCTGGGAGGCAGAGGCTAGCAGATCTCTGTGGGTTTGAGGCTAGCTAGGACCGTACAGTAAGACCCTCTGAAACAAGAACCATTGCAGATGTGTGGATGCAGGATCCGGGGAGCTAGTGTATGAGGTAACAACTGAAGTTGCTAACACTGCATCACTCGCTGGAAACTTGCTGATGGAGATTGCAGAAGCTCTCACTGTGTAACATCGGAAGGACGCTACTGGAGGAAACCGACATGTTCGTCAATTTGACTGTAGTAACCACTTCCACATGTATACACATTTAAAATGCTATATATTTTAAGCATATGCAATTTCATCTGAAAAAAATTTACAACCTGAAAATAAAAATATAACATGAGCCAAGATAAGGACCCGTATTCAATCCCCAGAATCAAAAGAAAGGGGTGTGATCAAGGGCTAGGCATGCATCTGAAAGTACTGGCAACCGGGGCAACAAACCTGCCACCCTTGCCTGTTCATTACATCATCCACAGTAAGCAAAGACAGTGACAGCTCAAGTCTTCACCGGTAGATAAAAGTATCAACAAAACACAGTAAGGGGCAAAATTCTGATACGTGGTCTAGCACGAGTGGCTCTTGAAGACAGTGGGCGAAAGCAGCCAGCAGCACGGCAAGAGCAAGGCCAGTTTGTGCTACATAATGAATCTTTCTTGAAAACCAACAAAGCACAATCAGAAAAAGGAAGGAAGAGAAAAAGACGGGAAACAAACACATTGGGACAAGCATCTTTGCCTTCCAGTTTTCTCGAACAGGCTAATTCACAGAAACTAGGGTCTGAGGAGTAAGGGACCACTAGTGGCTGCTTAACTGTTTGTTGGACGTATTTATTTACTGATTGGTTGATTGGTGCAATGAACGTTTTAGGATGGGGTCTGGAGAGATGGCTCAGTGGCTAAGAGCGCATATTCTGTAGACGACTCTAGTTCAGTTGCCAGCACCCACATCAGGCAGCCCACAATTGCCTATACCACCAGAGAACATAACTCACCAGCCCTCCTGGCACACGCGCGGGTGTGCACACCCACCCACACACCCCCACACACATAATCATTGAAGTTTTTTGTTTGTTTTAGTTTTTTGTTGTTAAGTTTTTTGCTTTGTGTTTTGTTTGTTTGTTTGTTTTTGAGACAGGCTCTCTCTGTGTCCTGGAACTTACTATGTAGCCGAGGCTGACCTTGAACTCACAGAGATCTGCTTACCTATGTGCATCCTGAGTGCTAGAATTAAAGGTGCTGTACATTTGGCTCTAAAATTAAATTTTAAAGATAAAAGTTTTAAGGTGGGTGGGATGGTTCGGTAAGTAAAGGCATTTGCCACCATTCTGGGACCCACGTGATGGAAGGCAAAAACGGACTCCTGAAATTCGTCCTCTGACCTCAACATGACCACTATGGCGCGCGCGTACACACACACACACACACACACACACACACACACACTAAATAGATTTAAAATTTACAGTTTGGTTTAACGTTTAGAAACACACAGCCGTGCTATGCCAGCATGCGTTCTGAGCACTCAGGAGGCAGAGGCAAGAGACACAGGACCTCAGCCTCCTGACAGGTCTCTGCTCCACAAGAAGAAAAGATAGGTTTGGATATAAATGACCTCTGTGATGTCTATGACACTCCGATTGTAACCATTGCCACGGAATCCTGCGCTTAAAACAAGCAAAATTTAAAAAAACAAACAAACAAAAAAACCACAGGCAAACGGAAGATAAGCAAGAGCAGCAGCAATGCACTGTTTTCTCTCCGGTCCGAAAGGGCCCAGTTTGCCCAGAGAGAATACACAAAGGACTGCGTGCAGCCCGCGCAGCCGCACGCAGGGCAAGCAGCAGCGGTGTGGAACCTCTCCTTGAAGACAAGAAAATATTTCCTTTCTTTATTTCTATGTTTTTTTAGCAGAGTTCCTTGGTTGTCCTGGAACTGGACACATAGCCCAGGATGGTCTCAAACTTCCAGGAATCCTCCTGCCTTAACCTACAGAATGCTGGAATTTTAATCATGTAAGACTGCCATACCTTTTGATGTGGGGGCGGGATCAATTGTTCTGCTGTTTGGTGACAGGGTTTCACTATGCAGTCTTTGGTTGGTCTGAAGTACCTTTCTTCCTTTTTCTTCCTTCCTTCCTTCCTTCCTTCCTTCCTTCCTTCCTTCTTTCTTTCTTTCTCTTTCTTTCTTTCTTTCTTTGCTAAGATTTTATTTAGTTAGTTAGTTATGTATAGTTATGTATATTGGTATTTTTTTCCGAAAAGGACATCAGATGCCTTCTTAGACGATTGTGAGCCACCATGTGAATGAGGAGAATCGAACCCAGGTCCTCTGAAAGAACAGCCAGTGTTCTTAAATACTGAGTCATGTCTCCAGCCCTGTCGCTCCCATCCCTCCCCCTTTTTAAGAAACGGTGTCAATCAGAACAGGCAAGATGGTTCGGTGGATAAACATCCTTGCTGTCACACCTGACTATTTGAGTTCGAGCCCCAGGCCCTACATGGTGGACAGGAAGGACCAAGTCTTGTAAATTGTCCTCTGACATCTACACACAAGCTCTGGCACTCGTGATTCATACACTCCTTTACTGCCAAGCACGGCAAAATAATAATAATAATAATTTTTAAAAATGTAAAGAACCAACACCATCTCTGACAATATCAATTAAGTTGACCCTTTGGGAGGGTCTCATGTTTCTCAATATGTCATTCCCTGGACAATTGGAGGAAGTAGGACAAAGGCTCAAGCCTCATCCCATGAGACTAGTTGGAGGTATCGGATTCCAAATGTCCACCTGTCACCTGAGTTCCCTTAAACCTGTAATGTCACCGCCAATGCTGTTTATTCCCAGTGCCCTGAATTTTTTCCCAGGAATTCATTAATTCACTAGTGAATGAAGCTGTGTCTCTGACAGCGATGTGATAATTTAAAAAAAAAATGAATTAGATTAAGAAGTAGGATGGGGGCTCATTAACATTTCAAATGTGATATCCAGGGAAGTCAACTGCCGGGAGTAAGCAAGGGCTTGAACTATGAGACTTTGCATGGAGAGATTTGGTAGGGGCAGGAGCGTGTGCTCTGTGTGTGCAACAGGATCCGGTCTCTGTAGTTCAAGACTGGCCTGGTCTAGATAGAAAGTTCCAGACCAGCCAGAGGAAATACATACTGAGACCCTGTAGAAAAAAAAAAAAAAAAAAGAAGGAAGGAAGGAAGGAAGGAAGAAAGGAGAAGGGAAGGAGGAAGGAAGGAAGAATAAAATAAAGGGATGCTCTTCCAGGTTCCAGGGTTCGGATCCCAGCACCCACATGGTGGCTTACAACCACCTGTGGGTCCTCTGCAATAGAAGCAAGTGCTCTTAATAACTGGGCCAGCTCTCCAGGCCCCCGGCAAGATTTTTTTTTAATCAAGAAAAAGAGTTCTTTTTTTTTCAATCACTTTTTGACACACACACATGCAATTTAAAAAATCACTTTTTGATTCAAGCAACTAGTCTTTCTAGCTATCTTGTAATATCGTTTTTAAAAAGAAAAATTTTAGTGGATTGGGAGGTCAAAGTTCATTCTCTGGATGCTGTGGAGCTGAATTTACTTGCTCAACCCAGAAGCAGGGTGGTCAACCCCTGTCTCTACTGAGGCACAAAACTGAGTGTAACAAACTGGAGGAACAGATGGTGTAAGTGCATGAAGCACGAGATGCTACTAAAATGCCATTTAATGTCACTTTAAGTCACTATGACTGTTGTCATTATTGTTACCACAGTTTTAAAATTAGGAAGCATGCACACGCCTTAGGTATGATACCCAGGGCCACACACGTGCACACGCACACGCACACACACTCACACTGCTCATTAACATGACACCAATTTGAGAAGTGTCCAGTGCTATTATCTCTTAATCTTTGCGACCTGTGTGCCTAGGCTGGCTTTTTAGGGGAACAGCCTCAAAGGAAGCTGGACATTAACCATAGCAGAGCTGCCCCGAATTATTTAATCCATGTGGCTCCTCCCATCACAGCCCCGCCCATCTTTACTGGACCCAATCCACGAGGCAGGTGTTGGATACCTGGTGATGGTGATGCTGTCGTGGGGAGGAGCCCACAGGGGTAAGCTCAAATTTGAATGCCAGGGGCCAGTACTCTGTCACAAACGGCACCGAAGCAGCCTTGCTTGAAGCAAGCTTCCTTTGGCCTAAGACTTTGAAGGAGTCAAGACAGTCACGCTGGAGACCGATATGGACAGGTAACAAGACAGTCTCCCATGTGTGTGCGTGTGCTCCGGTCCTGCTGCCTGGCTGTCTGGATGGAAGGCTTTGCCTGTCCGTGTGTGCATTTCCTATTCTGCTCTTCACCCTCTGCTCAGGTCTTTTGGGTTCCGGACCGAACTCTAACCCCAGGGTTCTTTACTTCTCCTGGTTTCTGTCTTCTCTGTATTGCTAAAGAGATAGGAAGTCTTGACTCATCCTGAAATTTGGATTTTGAGCTGGAGCTGGCTTGTAACAATAACAGCAAAGCCTTAGAGGTTCGTGGCACAGAGATTGTAGCAATTTCTTACTAAAAACAGTAGTGGTTATTTTCATAATTGTTTGGCAAATATCTAACGTTTTAAGACTTGAACAGGGAGTCTTTACTGGAATTATTTAGCTATAGCAAGGAAATCTGTACTTCTTAAAAATACTAAACATTTGAGCTGAATTGCTTGCAACTCATTGCAATGGTGTCTATTGAAGGAGAGAATTTTATTAAAACAGGCAATTTAGTGTTATAGGCTCAACTGTTAGACACTTAGTGACATTTTCACTGTTGAATTCATGTATGCAGAGATTTCTTAGCTTCTCGAAAGCTTCTCGGGCTCTTATATGCAGTTCATGATGAGCTGTTATCAGAAATTTCTCTCTCATTTTTCTACATTTACTGCCAGTGTGTGAGTCACTATGCCTCAAACCCACACACTGGAGTTCCCTTCCATTTGGCTATGAGGTTTAGAATGTGGAGTCAATATAGTTAGTGGTAGCATGGATGTTCTTCAGATTCCAGATCTTTCCTTTCTTGTTTCCCTCCTCCTCCTCTCCCCCCTCCTTCCCCTTCTCTTACCCCTCCTCCTCTCCCTCCTCTCCCTCTTCCCCCTCCTCTTCTTCCTCCTCTTCTCCACCCCTCCTCCCCCTTCTACTCCCACTCTCTCTCACCCTTATTAGAGACCACATTGAGGACCTTGCATATGCTAGACAAGTACTCTGCTGCAAAATGACATCCTGAGCCCTCAAAAGGCAACCAACCAACCAACCAACCAACCAGCCAGCCAACGAGACAAACAAACAAATGTCCACAGTGGGCAGGCAGACAGCATCAGTTGCTTCTGAATTTATACTGAATTTTGAAACCAAATCTGAGATCTATGATGGAGCCCTGGTGGAGAAGGGGTTGGGAGAAATTTATGAGCATAGCAAACTGCAGAGCAAAGACAAAGGCGAGGCTGAGATTCAGGGAGAAACAAACAAGAAAGTGGAGACAGCACTGACCAGAGTAAAGGCAGAAGGTAACTCAAGGCAGCCCTGTTACTCTGCTGGGATTATTTTTAACCCTTTGAGTCTGGTTTGCATTGCTGGGGAAGCAGCTAATGTTCTGCATCAAGGAGCACAGCTGTCTCAGCAGCCGGCAATCTACAGGCCTGAAACACTACCTAGCAAAGTCCTCCCTACTGGGAGGGACATCCTGAGGAAAGACGTCCTAAACTCCCAGCTCCTGAGTTGAGGGAAGTGGTGGATCAAGGTGCCCCGTCCACAGGTCAGGACTGTGCAGCTCCGCCCACTGCTCCGCCCACCATGGCTGGAATCTTAAGACAGAAATGGCCTATTACATCTTCCTGTGGTACAGACACAATTCTTCTACTTGTGACACATCTTTCTTTTTCTAAACTCCAAGGATACCTTTCCTTCATAATAACAGTACCCACTCACAATACACACTCATAAACACACATACACACACAGATATACACACACAGAAACATGTGCTTACACTTCTACCCACAGTATGTGGGAAAACGTTTTCTAGGGCTCTGAGTACGGCTCTGTGTCACAGTACTCACGAGCATAGACAAGGCTCCAGGTTCAACCCACTGAAAAAGATCCTCTACTTTTCCCACCTAGGTAACACAGAAAGTTTAGTTAAGTAGAAAGGAAATTTATTGCTAAGAGATGAAGTTTAAGGTGTTTAAAATTGGCTGGATTCAAGAGATACTTGTGCTTATTATTATAATATGCTGAGCGATGATGATGATGATGATGATGGTGATGATGATGATGGTGATGATGTGTTTTACCACATAGCCTGGGTGGTGTAGAATTCTCCACGTAAACCAGGCTGGCTTCCATTACACAAAGATCCTCTGCCCTCCCCCATGATCTGGAATTAAAGGTGTGCACCACCATGCCCAGCTGCTAAAGGGTTTTATAGGCTAGTTATGAACAGTAGACAGTACACATGGAGATACTAGGATGATTACCATGGCAAACTATTATTTCAAAATAAAGCTATTATCGTTGGAGGCTAAGACAGGAGGACCATGAGTTTGAGGCCAGCTGCAGCGTCATAGAGATTTCCAGATCAGCATGGGTTCCGCAGCATGACCGTGTCGGAAAAAAGTCAGGGACTGTGACTTGTACTGAATTATTATTAAAACGTGAGCTGTGACCTTGTGAACATGCATTCAGTGACAGTATATGAATATTTACAGTGGTTCTAACCAACCAGGCACCAACGTGGAACATACCCAAATTTCAACCAGCACGTAAATGGATAAACAAAACGTGTTCTGTCCACACAATAGAATATACTGCTCAGCAGGAAAAAGGAGTCAACCACTGATACTTGGATAGATATCGAATTTACTATGTTCAATGAGAGAAGTTACTCAGGAAGGAGAAAATGTGATTTTAATGAAATTATAGAAAGTTAGAAATAATTTACATTTACAGAGAGCAGGTCCGTGGTTGCATGGATAAGAGGAGAAAGAACAGCAAGTAGCAACAAAGAAGCTTTAGTTAAGCCTAGAATGCTGTCTCCTCTGATCGCGCCGGCAATCTGGCCTGCGGAGCCGTCAATATTCACGGAGCTGTAGATTTCAAGTGAGTGGAGTTTACTATGTAAATTGTATCTCAACAACAACAAAAGTGAAAGATGGTTTCAATTCTCTTGCATCAAAACCGTATTCAAATTCCTAACTAGCTTTTTTTTTTTAAATAAAAGCAATCGCTGCACTTCCACCCATCACCACTGTGTGGCAGTGCTGTGTCTACGAGAGCCACACTGCTGTTTATCATCTGTTATATCTCCTGGCTCAGGTTAAGCTGTCCACAGCCTTAAAGGGAACTGTAATTTTTTTTTCTTTTTCTAAAGAAACCTGGGGGCTGGGGAAATGGCTCTGTAGGAACAGCGCTTGCCGTGAAAGCGATAGGACCTGAGAGTAGCTGCCCAAAAGCAGGCACCTGTAATACCCGTGCTTCTAAGATGTTAGCCAGGGGTGCATGGCAGAGAACAAGAGATTCTGTCTCAAACAAGACAGAAGTCAAGAACCAACACCCAAGGTTGTACCCTGGTCTCCACATGTGTCCTGTAGCTTGTGTTGACTCTACCGCCACCCCCATCCCACACATATACACATTCAACACAAAGATTTTTAAAATTATTTTTAAGTGTGTGTGTCAATGCAGGTGCCCTCAAAATCCAGAGGTGTTGGATCCTGGTGGAGCTGGAGTGACAGGTAGTTGTGGGCCACCTAATGCAGGTGCTGGGTCTAGAACCCGGGATCTCTGAAAGAGCAGTTCATGCTCTTAAATGATGAGCCATCCCTCTAGTCCCCATAAAAACTGTACAAGCCTTAAGGGCTGGAGATGTAGCTCATTAGTAGGGAACTTGGCAACATGCACAAAGCCCCGGCCTAAGTATACAAGTGGGTGGAGCACACCTGTGTGGGGCACACCTGTCATCCCAAGACCTGGGGAGTGGAGGCTGGAGAATCATCCTTGTCAAATTTCCTACCAGCCTGAGCTAGATGAGTTCTTATCTCAAAACAAAAATAAATAAGATCAACAAAACTGACCAAGAAAAATCCAAACATGAAAACCCAAAGACTTAAGAGGGGGTACAGGGGTAGAGGGGTGGTTTCTCAGACAGCACATGCTATCAAACCTGACGTCTTGAGTTTGACCCCTGGAACTCCCATGATGGAAACAGAGAGCCAACTTCCACAAGTTGCCCTCTGACCTCCATAGGTATGTATGTGTCCATACACACATATCATTCATACAACAATAATTTTAAAATGTGATTTTTTTAAAGACACAGAGGCAACTGTTTCTTATACTTCTGTTCAATGAAGAATGGATAGATACTATGTAGCAAAGTGATAGCAAGTAGACATGACCTCATATGGCCCTGTGCTTAGACAGGGAGGGCATCCAACAAGGCCCTTCTGCACCATTCCTTTTCCTGGATGTAGGAGAGGGCACCCCTGGAATTTGGCTCTTCAAGGAAGAGAGTGACGTTTCTTTTCCCAGTAGCTCAGTGGCTTTGATATCCTGCTCTCTTCCTTCTTCCACTGTGACTCAAGTGCTGGAATTGAAGTGTGACTTTCTGTGTTTTCCTTTGCTTCGTTTTGTGGTACTGAGGGGTCAGACCTAGAGCCTCATACAGGATAGGCAACTGCTGTGCTACTGAGCTATATTCTTGCTGCGGAGCTCAGGCTGGCTGAAACTTACAGCAATCCCTCCCCCTTCCCCCTCACCCCCAGTACAGAGGTTACGGGCACAAGCAACCTAACCTGACCCTCACCGGGCTTTATCACTTGCTTTTGGAAGAGTTCAAGTTCTGTGATGCCATTGGAGTAGTGGGGAGACGGGAGGGAAGAATGCTAAAGAGAAGGTATCTAAGGCTATGTCCAAAGCCTTCAGATCTCCCGTCCTTCAAGTTCTCAGAATGTCAAACTACTGTATTTTTTTCCTGAGTCCCAATAGAATTTACAAACCTACACAATTAATTAAATATGAAAACTGAGGAAGAAGAAATGATCAAGGAGTGTCAAAGAGATAGACGGGCTGGAGAGATGGCTCAGTGGTTAAGAGCACTGACCGCAGTTCCAGAGGTCCTGAGTTCAATTCCCAGCAACCATACAATGTCTCACGATCATCTACAATGGGTTCTGACACCCTCTTTTGACATGCAGGCATGCATGTACACTGTCATGGGGACTCAAATAGGTTTAGGGATCTCCCAATGGGTCTCAATTTGAAGCCTGGAAGGGTGGATGGATTTTAAGCTGAGTATGTCTCGGGTATTCAGAAAAGGAAGTAAGACTACGCTTTCCAGTTTAACCCAAATAATTATAAAATTTAAAAAAATCAAGATGATCACAATAGGTCTGGGGATGCAGTTGGTGCTAAAGTACTTAGCTAGCTTGCACAGGGCTCTAGGCTCAGTCTGCAGCAGCAGCAGCAGCAGCAGCAGCAGCAGCAGCAGCAGCAACAGCAACAGCAACAGCAATAATAACCAGAAGCCTTGCCCTGAATTTTCTTCTTTCATTCACAGTCTTCTCATGAAGCAAAAGAAGTTTCTTTACCACTTCAAAAATGTCCGCTGGGCTAAGGGGCGGCATGAGACCTACCTGTGCTATGTGGTGAAGAGGAGAGATAGCGCCACCTCCTTCTCCCTGGACTTCGGCCACCTTCGCAACAAGGTAGGGGGGGGGGGGCTGGTAGCTGTTGACACTAAACCTGAGGATGCCCCTGGTGCCAGGTGCTGAGGGGACAAGACAGTCTCAAAGGGAAGAGAAGGAGAAACAGAGACAGAGAAAGAGCTAGCATCTGTGTTCCCAAGATGACCAACTCTGACACTCCTCCTGCCTCAGTGCTGTAATTACAGGCATGTGCCACCACACTGAACTTTTTTGGGTTATTTGATTAATGTCTCCACCAGCTTCCTTGGGTCCTTTTTTGTTTGTTTGGTTGGTTGGTTGGTTTTTCGAGACAGGGTTTCTCTGTGTAGCCCTGGCTTTCCTGGAACTCACTCTGTAGACCAGGCTAACCTCGAACTCTCGAACTCAGAAATCCATCTGCCTCTGCCTCCCAAGTGCTGAGATTAAAGGCGTGCACCACCACGGCCGGGCCTCCTTGGGTTCTTTCCACATTCTATCCAAATACAATAGACTGGGCCTGAAGGTTGTTACTCAGTAACACTGGGAACCCTGCTGCCATGCCTTCCTTCAATGACAGGAAGAATTGTCCCCAGACTTTTCTGTATCTCCTCCCCTTCCTGCTTCTGATTTGCTTTAAGGCTAAAGTAAATGGACCCGAGAGGCAAGAGGCTGCTCGGTGGTTAAGAGTGTCACTTGCTCTCCTGGGAGACCTGGGCTAGATTCCCAGCTCTCCATGGCAACTCGCAACCATCTGTAACATTGTAACATCTGTTCCAGGACATCCAATGCAGCCTCCGAGCACAACACACACATACACACACACACACACAGAGGCAAAACACCCATACACATTAAATAAAAGTAGCCTTTAAAAAAGATTAAGGTAAAGGCAGTGGTGGTGCATGCCTCTAATTCCAGCACTTGGGAGACTGAGGCAGGCTGGTTGCTGAGTTTGAAACAGCCTGGTTTACAGAGAGAGTTTTGGGGCAGCCAGGACTACACAGAGAAACCCTGTCTGGAAAAACAAACAAAAGGACTGAAATAATGGTGCATGCCTGTATTTCCAGCACTTGGGAGTACGTAGGGAGTCCCTGTGTCCAAAAAAAAAACCAAAAACAAAACAAAAACAAAACAAAAGCCAGAAACAAAAACAAAAAAAAACGAGCATTTTGATCTAGGAAATAGTTTTTAAATTTTACTTTTCAGAGTGCTAGGGATGAAATGAAGTCCCTGTCTTGACAGACAAGCCTGGCCCCTGAGCTCTCCCCTAACCACCTCTGGCCCCTCACCCCCTCAGCGCTCTAATCCCTCAGTTCTGGGTCCTTCTCGAGCACTTTCTTGAGTGAAAAAAAAACAAATCATGTCTTTAGAATTTTTGAAAATCAATAAGAAAAAAATAGGTAAAAATGACATTAACTCAACTGTTTTCCAATAATTTCATTTCCTCCTGATCAAAAGACCAGAGGCCGATGGTCACCTTTAACCTGATGAGTTTAACCTTCAGGAACCAGAAAGACAGTCGTGTGGGTAGTTAGATCAATCTTCCAGCTGCCTGAAAGAAATGCGTTTCCAAGAGAGTTCACCGAATTGCGGATTGGCTTCCATCTGCTCCTCCTGGGCATCTCCAGGACTCCCAGGGAAGAGCTCTCGTGAAGTTGGCTATTTATAATGCAGGTTCCCTTTCATGGGGCAAACTTCCTTCAACACCATCGTTTTACAGTCTCTTCCCTACTTGGAGCCATGACACACTGTATTTACAGACGACTTGATCAAGTGGTACTTTCTCTTCCATACGCAGTGCTCACAACATCAGCTTGATTTACTGCTAAGGAAACAGCACACACACAAAAAAATAGATGAGTAAAAAACTATCTTCAGTCTTAGACTAACGATTTTCACACTAGGAGGTGGGTCTACTACCGTTGCAGTTATCACAGTCACAGACATCACACACACGCACACGCGCACACACAAATTGGCTTCCACTTATTACTCCATACACCAAGTCAGAGACTCTTCTCTTCAATAAGCTTTTCCCTCCAGGCAGTGCCCTAACCATCCTTACAAATTGTCCTGGCGCCACCTAGTGGCCAAGATGCAGTTTTACTACTTGGCATCCAAACAGGCACTTCCGAAACACAAAGTAAGGTGTATGATGAGTCCTTTGTCCCATAAATCCGCAGCTTTTCTTTACCCAACAGGGCCAATGTAATAAAGAGATTTGGCTCTAACAAGTGCTCTCTTAACAAAATTAACTTTAGGGGGCTGGAGAGATGGCTGGGTGGTTAAGAGCACTGACTGCTCTTCCAGAGGTTCTGAGTTCAATTCCCAGCAACCACATGGTGGCTCATAATCATCTGTAGTGGAATCTGATGCCCTCTTCTGGTATGTCTGAAAACAGCGAAATTAAAAATAAATAAATCTAGGAAGAAAGAAAGGAAGAAAGAAAATTAACTTTATGCTAGGAGTGGTGGTGCACACTTTTAATCCCAGCACTCTGGAGGCAGAGGCAGGCAGAACTTTGGGAGTTCCAGGCCAGCCATGCGCTCTGGGTGGGAAAGCATGCCTGTCACGTCACCAAGGCTCTCTGCTCTATCCCCAGTCCGGCTGCCACGTGGAATTGTTGTTCCTACGGTACATCTCGGACTGGGACCTGGACCCCGGCCGGTGTTACCGCGTCACCTGGTTCACCTCCTGGAGCCCCTGCTACGACTGTGCCCGGCATGTGGCTGAGTTCCTGAGATGGAACCCCAACCTCAGCCTGAGGATTTTCACCGCGCGCCTCTACTTCTGCGAAGATCGCAAGGCTGAGCCTGAGGGGCTGCGGAGACTGCACCGCGCCGGGGTCCAGATCGGGATCATGACCTTCAAAGGTGAGACTTGTGCACAGGAGTGGGCCATCTGAGTTGCCACTCAGAGTGAGTGTCAGTGGGGAAACTGGGGGCGGGGTCCTACGTAAGGATTCAATTCGTCCTCTATATCAAAAGTATTACTTTATTTTTTGAGGTAGAGTCTCACTATCCCAGGCTGATCTTCAACTTGGAATTCACCGGCCTCTGCCTGCTGAGTGGTGGAATTATAAGTATACATCAATCTCAGAATTATCAGAGTTTGAAAGATAGAAATTGACAGGGCTACAGGTGTGCTCAATGACAGAACTCTTGTCCAGAATGTACAAAGCCCTGCGTTCCACCCTTAGCAGTCAAAAAATAAACGATGGTGGTGATGGTGGTGGTGGAGGTGGTGGTGGTGATCTCGGTGGTGGTGGTGGTGGCAGTGGCGGTGGTGGTGGTGGTGGTGGAGGTGGAGGTGGAGGTGGAGGTGGTGATCTCGGTGGTGGTGGTGGTGGTGGTGGAGGTGGTGGAGGTGGAGGTGGAGGTGGTGGTGGTGGTGGTGATCTCGGTGGTGGTGGTGGTGGTGGTGGTCAGAGAGATGGTTCTGTGGGGGGCACTTGCCTTCGTGACTTAAGTCTGATCCCTGAAACCCCACATGGTGGAAGAAAAGAAATCTCACAAGCTGTACTGTCTGCCCTTCTGACTTTCTGACCTTCACCTACACACTGTGCTTATTATGTGGGCGTACACACACACGCACACACACATACTCACTCACACACACTCCTTTATTTATTTATTTATTTATTTATTTTTCTTTTAAGACTATTTTTACTGCTGGAATACATTTGTAGAAAATCGTGAAAGAACTTTCAAAGCCTGGGAAGGGCTGCATGAAAACTCCGTCCGGCTAACCAGACAGCTTCGGCGCATCCTTTTGGTAAGTCTCTCTCTTTCTCTTTTTCTCTCTTTCTCTCTTTCTTCCCTCCCCCCTCACCTGGAGCCTCTTAGATATTTATTTGTATTATGCACTATTTTATATAATGATTACTTCACGGCACTTACAATCCAGCTTTCTCTTCTGTCTTTGCCCAGGGCAGAGATTCCACTCAGACTCCTGCCTTTGCCTCCTCTTGGCTCAATCTTCGTAACTTTTTCCTTTTGTTAACCTCCCCTCAGGTGGGGTTCCTTCCGGGCCAGAATTCTCCCCTTCTTTTTCCTGGTCCTCATCCCAACTTCCTTTCCATTTCGTTTATACGCGTTCCCTTCCCCCAGCTCAAATTTAAAGCCATTCACTCCGTTTATATCTCTCTTTCTCTGCAGCCCTTGTACGAAGTCGATGACTTGCGAGATGCGTTTCGTATTTTGGGACTTTGATAGCAACCTCCTGGAATGTCAAGTGTGATGAAATTTCTCTTCTGAAGAGACTAGATAGAAAAAACAACCCTCCAACTACCTGATCTTCTTCTTAAGTACTCACTTTTATAAGTGTAGGGTGGGGCGGAAATAATATGACTTTTTTAAAAAGTACTTGAGCTGCATAGGACCTCCCGAGCGATGATGCAACTGAACTTTGTGTACGACATCGCCATCTACTGGGGAACAGCAGAACTTCCAGACTTTGGACCATAAATGATGCTCTCTCGGACCTTTCAACAGAAGGGAATTGCTTAGAAAAGCACACGGAGAGGATCACACGGTTTGTTACACCTACCCTCTATTCTTTGATTCATTTGAATTCTCAGGGGTATCAGTGACGGAGTTTTCTACTCTTTTCCTCTGAGGCTCACTTTCAGGGGTCCTCTTCCGACGAGGCCACGGGGCTGTCCTACAGTCTGAGCGATCACAAGCCATTCTCTCAAAAGCATTACTATGTAGGCACGTGCTGTGTGTTTTCATTGTCCTTCGTGTTTTTCATATTTGTGTGTGAGAGGGCTTGGGCGTGGTATTTGAAGTATGCATGATCACCTCTGGGTGATTTTAATAAAGGATCTTAAAATGCAGATGAGGACTACGAAAAATCACTCTGAAAATGAGTTCATGCCTCAAGAAGCAAATCCCCTGGAAACACAGACTCTTTCATTTTTAATGTCATTAGTTTACTTACAGAAGAAGAGTTCAAGAGTTCAATCCAATTTTCAGATCGCTTCCCTTAAACATCTGTAATTCTGTTAAAGGGATTAAATATGCTTGTTCCTTAAGTAACTGATGCCTTACTATAAAGAAAGAAGCAGAACATCCAGTTCAAAAGTACCCGGTCATCAGAGCCAAAAGCTGCCACTTTTTTTCCATTAAAAATGGCAAATTCTTCCCCAGTCTCTCATAGTGGCTGAGATGGAGCATGGAGGTGGTGGACCTCCAGATACTCTGGCCCAACATGGCTGAAAGCTCTGTGAGGGCACAGAGACGGAATGCTGGAATGCAACAGAAATGGCCCCACGCTCCTACTCTTCCTTTCCTTGCTACCTTGGGAACAAGGTTCTTAAAGGAGCCTGTGATTTAGAAACACCACAAACTTCTAGTAATGGACACCTGGGAATTGTTCAAGCATGGAGCGGTCATTTATTCTCTTTGATGGATGCCAACACAGTTAAGCAGAATTTTTCTAGTTTTTATATGTGTGTGATGCTGCTCCTCCAAATTGTTAACTGTGTAAGAGGGTGGCAAAATAGAATCATATCTGATGCCAGGAAGAGTGGCATTCATCTATAGTTCCAGCATTCAGGAGGCTGGGGCAGGACGATTGCAAATTTGAGACTAGTCTGGGCTGCAAGGTGAGATCCTATTTAAAACAGTATGGCCAGGATTGGGGTCGGGTAAATCATATGTAACAAGGAAAAATACAAGATGTAAGACCATGGCGAGGAAATTATGCTTTGCCCAACCAAATGTAGGAACCAACGTAGACTCCCCATTTGTCCCTCTTTGTGCCTTGTCTCCTAACAACGATCTTTGCTGATGAGAAAAATATTGGAAGCATATCCCTGTGCTGTTATTACCCAGTTGCTGTTATAACGCAATTAAAAGACCCACAGGAAATCCCGTATACACAACCGTTATTTATTGTATGTAAGTTGCCAAGGAAGAGGAGAAAAAATAAATATCGTCAATTCCTTCCTGCATCTATTCCTGTTTTTATAATCTTGGTGTACAGCATCCAGCGATATTCCTTCCTGAAGTTTCATAAATCTGAAACTTTAGAAATTACTATAGCTGTGCGCATAGTTCTTACCATCTAAAATCTTAACGATATGGCTTTGGCAGCTGTGTGCTTGTTTTTTGTTGTTGTTTTTTGTTTTAGTTTGTTTTGTTTCGAGATAGGGTTTCTCTGTGTAGCCCTGGCTGTCCTGGAACTCATTCTGTAGACCAGGCTGGCCTCGAACTCAGAAACCCACCTGCCTCTGCCTCCCAAGTGCTGGGATTAAAGGCGTGTGCCACCATTGCCCGGCCTGTGCTCTTGATTTTTAGGAACTTTCTTCCCCCCTCTCCCTCTCCCCGCCCCCCATACAGCAAGTTCATCCTGGCTCATTTTAAGTCAATCAAATACGCGATTAAAACGCAAACGTTTAGCTGGGCGGTGGTGGCGCTCGCCTTTAATCCCAGCACTTGGGAGGCAGAGGCAGGTGGATTTCTGAGTTCGAGGCCAGCCTGGTCTACAGAGTGAGTTCCAGGACAGCCAGAGCTACACAGAGAAACCCTGTCTCGAAAAAAAAAAAGAAAAAAAAAAAAAGAAAACGTTTTGGAAATGAACTACTGAATAAAACGGTGTCGAAAAACGTGTTTATAAATTAAAGTCATACAAATCACAGGGTAAGGTGGCGCATGTCTTTAACCTCAGCATTCGGAAGATGGAGGCAGGAGGATCTCTGTGGGTTTGAGGCCAGGCTGATCTAGATGGAGTGCTCTATGAACAGCCAAGACTACACAGAGACCCTGTCTTAGAAAAATAAGTAAATACCTGATGAAATAGAATTTAGTTGAGAACCCAGAAAATTAACCCACTCGGCTATGACCAACTGATTTCGGATAAAGGCCAAAGGTATGCTGAGTCAACAAATCCTGTTGGGGTAATTTGACATCAGGTGCAAAGAATGTAGTTGACAAGGTGACACCTGCCTGTCCCCTACTTGGGAGACTGAGTCAAGAAGATCAGTAGTTGAGACCAGCGTGGGCATAATAAAGACTGTCTTAAAACAAATAAAAGGATAGTTTTGGGCCTCTTCCATACACCACACAGAGAAATGTGTTCAGTTGCAAGAACTTCTATGTAGAAATTAAAGTTTCAGCGTTCAAGATAGCATAGATGGAAATCTCCCTGAGTTTGAATTCCTACCCACTGGGACAACTAGCTACCCACTAAAAACAGTGTCAGTGAGGCAGTGGAGTGACTGGAACTTGTGGATGTGTAGGAATGTAAAATGGTGCAGCCGCTGTGGGGAGCAGTCCTTCGGGTCCTCAGAAGTTAAATGAGGAAAGTTACTGGACCTGGACAATCCCCCTGCTGAGTTTCTGAGAGAATTACAAGCTTGAGGAGTTAGTTAGACAGATGGCTCACTTGGTATGGTGTTTGCCTTGAAACCACAAGGATCTCAGTTTGATCCCCAGAATCTCTGTTAGAATGCTAGACATGGTAGTGCAAAATCCCAGCATGCAGGAGGCAGAGACAGCTGGGTCTGAGGCCTCTGGTACCATCATCTGCTTGGCAAATTCCAGGGTTAGGATGAGAGAATCTTTTCCTTTTAAGGCCATGCTTGGTGGTACACACCTTTACTCATCACTCGGGATGCAGAGACAGGTGGATTTCTGTGAGATTGAGGTCAGCCTGGTCTACATTGTGAATCTCTATTTAAAAAAAAAAATGGCTAGAGCCTAAGGAATGATGCTAACACATGTATGTGCACATGGCTGAAGAATGATAGCTACATACGCACATGCAAATGACTGATGGCACACATGCACACATCACAAATAAAAAGAAATATATAGTCAAACAAAAGTTCATATGTGAATGTTCAGAATAATATTATGCATAGTAGGCCCCAAATTTAAACACTCATCAGTTGGTGAGTGGATAAGCATAGAAAGGCACACCTACAGTAGAAATTTAATCTATTGGCCATAACATGAATATACCTTGAAAGCATGGTTCTGGTCCAGCAGAATGGTTCAGTGGGTAACGACCTCGTCAGCCAAACCTGACAACCTCAGCTGGGAGAAGAGAGAACCAACTCAAAGCTGTCCTCTGACCTCTTCACATGCATGGTGGTTCACAAGCCACCCCCATACATATACAATAAGTAAATGCAGTTTTTCAAAGAGAGAAAATTAATGATTAATTTCAAAAGAAAGCATTGTGCTCTTCGAAAGAAACACACAAAACTCTACACATTGTATGATTCCAGAGTAGGAGTCCGGGTGTGGCTGTGCACACCTGTAAACCCAGCACTTGGGAGATGAGGCAGGAGGATCGGAAGCTCACAGCCAGGCTTGACTACGTAGTGGAGTCATGACCAGGGTGGGTAACATGAGACCCTGTCTCAAAATAAACAAAAAAAAAAAACTTGAGGAAACAAAAAAACATTAATAACTGGGGGACTCATAGAGACTACTAAGCCCTTGCCAGGGGTTGAGGGAGAGGGGAAATGAAGATCTGCTTAGGTTTGAGTGTCAGAATTCTATCAAAGGGAAGCAATTTTAAATAAAATTACTAGAATTCTGTGAATTTAAGCTTTTGTTTTAATTAGTTCATCAATTTGCTTTTGTGAGACAGGGTCTCCCTGTGTAGCTTCAGCTGTTCTGGAGTTGCTATGATATAGTCTTGGCTAACCTCGAACTCAGAGATCCACCTGTCTGTGCCTCCTGAGAGCTGGGTTTACAAGTGTGTGATACCACACCTTGCCAGCATTGTCTATGAGAGTGGCATTGCTATCCTCTCTGCCTACAAGACAAACCCCTAAAATCATCCCTGCTGTATCCAGTCTCCAGCCCTGACAGGGGGACTTTGTACTACAAGTCGGTCTGCTTGTTTTGGTGGTGCTGCATTTGAACCCAGGGCCTCCTGCATGTAAGGCCAACACTCTACCTATGAGCCATGCCCCAGCTTCTAAGAGGCTTTATTTATTTATTTATTTATTTATTTATTCATCTATGGTTTTTGCTGTTTGTTTCTGAGACAAGGTTTTTGTCCACATAACCAAAGCTATCTTACAACTGTCTCAACTGAGGCTAGCCTTGAATTCCTGATTTTTCTGCTCCATCTCCTGACACCACCATGTGTGGCCCCTAAGTAGCTATCTCACTCCTCCACGATCATCTGAGAAAGATGAAAAGCCCCCAGGAGTTGCAAGCTGGCCCAACACTCACAGGAAAGGGGGATTAGCTCCTGTCGGACACGCTCTCAAGACACTGTTAGTCTGAGAAATTCAAACCACTCTGTGATTTTGTCTAAAAGTTGTGCTGCCCACAAAGTGCTACGCATGCACTCCCTGCCTCTCTCCTGTGAACTCAGTTTTATTCTGTCCTAGGCACACTCCCTAAGCATAAGGTTTCATCACAAGCCCAGCCACGAGGTTCACGTTGTCCACAACAAACCCTCCTTTCCTATCACCAAAGCCCAAACTCTAGAACTGATTCTAACTGGGAATTTTCATGGCATCCCATAGCGTATGCTGTGAGCAATACGTTCAGCGTTTCCTGGAAACCACTGGCACACAAAACTCTGAGTCACCAATACCTGCTGCTCTCTCTACTGAGCTAGCTTCCAATGCTACCTAATTCATTTTAGCTTATGATCATTAGTGTTAGTTACGTTTCTGTTGCTGTGATTAAAACGCCGTGACCAAGGGCAACCTAAGGAAGAGAGAGAGTTTATCTTGGCTTATCGCACTGAGAACTAAGACACAGTCACTGTGGGGCGGAGGCCTGGAATCAAGTGGCAGGCATGACTTGGGGAGCTGGAAGCTGGGCAACCACATCTTTAACAGCAAGCACCACGCAGAGAGTGCAGAGAGTGAACTGGAAGTAGGGCGCTATGAAGTGTTCAAGCCCTCCCTGAGTGATGTGTCCCCCCAGCCAGGCTGCACTTCCTGAACACCCCCAAACAGCGCCACTTTGAACACCTGAGCCTATGGGGATGGTTGTCATTCTAACCACAACCTGTGACAAGTGCCCTTGCACAGTGAGCCATTTTGCTTGCACATAGTCCACCGTTTGTATCGCATTTCACTAATGCCTTCTCTGCAGTGGTGGTAATGGTGGTTGTTTCTTAAGGAGATTTCACTTAAAATTAATACTAATCCGCTAAGCATTTGCTCATTCTTCCAAGATGTTACTGATCAGTTGCTGTATTCTCGTAGCACCGTGGTCAGCATTACACAAACTGCTTTAAAGAAGGCTGAAAGATCCTGGGGCTGGAGAGAGAGCTCAGTAGTTTACAGAGCTCCTTGGTCCTCCAGAGAATCCAAGTTCAGTTCCCAGCACCCACATCACACAGCTCACAACCATCTGCAACTCCAGCTCCAGGGGGTCCGACACCCCGTTCTTATCTCCGTGAGCACCTGCATACATGTGGTATACAAACACACACACACACACAAATACAAAAATATGAATAAATCAATTCTTTTTCTTAAAAAGCAGTCTTAAAATTCCACGGACCTAGAGAAGTATTATTTGAAATTTTGAAATGGGACTCAAAGAACTTCTTGCAGAAATTAATACATACAGTATTTTGAAATATAAGTAAACGTTCAGTCAGTGGTCATTAACCTTAAGGCTGAGACTGCAGCCAGGTTGGGAGAGTGCTTGTCCAGCAGGCATCAAGTCTTGCGCTCAGCCCACAGTGCAACACACAGCTGGGTGTGGTGGTACATGCCTGTAGTCCTAGCGTTTGGAAGATGGAGATGTAGGGAGCGGAAGTTCAAGGTCAGATCCTAAAAAGGCCTTGGATGCTAAATGCATTTGCCATGTGAACCTGACAAGCTGAGTTCAATCCTAGGAAGAGCCTCCTGCAAGTTGTCCTTTAACCCTCATGGGATTGCAGTGCCCACATGTGCCTTCACACAGACATTATATACATGTGTGGTGTGGGTGCATATATATATATATACTTTAATAGCATATA